CATAACTATATTTTTAGTTATTTTGTGACAACTTTCACCAGACCTGGGAAAAGACAAAAACATATTCAAGACAAGCTTATTTAGGCTCTACCAGTAACCTAGGAAATAAAAAAAGGCATAAGCTTTTTTTATAAAAAAACTTTCCCATCACGGATGCAAACAAGGTGGAATAATGGCATAATAATATGTCGTTTTATTGGAAGGAAAGATGAGAATGGTTGTTCATTGTTCGATTATTCAATTTGATACTTCTTCTTTAGTGGTCAGTTCAAGCACGCACTTCCCTTGACCGGACTGCATTGAATCCACTTAACGAGCCCTCAATAATGTTATGAGCCCTCAATAATCAATAATGTTATACTGATCAAATTTTGAAATTAAATTAAAATTCAAATGACTTGATAATATATTATTTAAAATTTTTATTAGAACCCAAATGAAAAACACCGAATAAAAAAATTTAAATCAACTGTCATGTCATTTAAATTTTAAATTTAGTCTTAAAATTTGATCAGTGTAACACTACTCACGAGGCTATACAAGCAAAATCCCACGGACTAAAATAATAAGGGTAAAGTGTAGTTGATCCTCGGCTTCAATTTGACTGGTCCCAGTAATACACGTGACGAATAGTCCCTTGTTGCACATTACACTTGACTGGGGTCATAGACGTTGGACAATATGTTAGGCGAGCGTGATTTGGAGACGACTGTGTGAGCCGAATTTCACATTGTAAGCACGAGTCTAAAGAACGAAAAACAGAAAGGATTACTTACAAGTTAAGCCCCGAAAGATAGTTCGAATCTCAATTTAAACTCCCGAAGATCAAAAATCTCAATTTGCACCGTTAAAAATAGAAATTTATATCAATGCGCACCCTCAAAGATAAAAAATCTCAATTTACATCCTCAAAGATAAATATTTGTATCAATGTGCATCAAAAACTAAATTAATAAATTATACCTAAATCCCCTCATGCTTAAATATTTGGACCCCTTCACATTTAAAATATTACTCTTACATCTCATGACGTTTGTACACGTGCAACACGTAACCCATTTTCGTTGATATATGTTAATATAACAGTTAAAAAATATGATCTTATTCTAATAAAAAATTATAATTTTATAATTATACTCTATAATTCAAAATCAAGCTTACTATTTGAATGTTTAATAGAATGTAGATATTTATATAATATTTTTTATATCCAATGCAATATATTACTCAATGTGCAACACTTTATTCTATTAGACATTCAAATGGTAAACTTAATTTTGAACTTTAGAGTATATTAGACCCATAAAATAAAAAATAATATGAAATTATAATTTTTTTATTAGGATAAAATCATATTTTTTAACTATTATATTAACATAAATCAACAAATAAAGGTTACGTGTTACACGTGCACAAACGCCATAAAATATAGGAGTAATATTTTAAATGTGAAAGGATCAAAATAATTAAGTGACAAACATGAAAAAATCTAGATATAATTTATCAATTTAATTTTAAGTGCACATTAATACAAATTTTTATCTTTGAAGGAGCAAATTAAAATTTTTTAATTTTGGAGGTGCACATTAATACAAATTTTTATCTTTAAGGGTGCAAATTAAGATTTTTGATCTTTAGGGGTGCACATTGATGTAAATTTTTATTTTTGAGGGTACAAATTGAAATTCGAACGATCTTTCAGGGTACAATTTACAATTAACCCAAAAAGAAACAGATATATCCTAGGCCAACAAGAAANATTCGAACGATCTTTCAGGGTACAATTTACAATTAACCCAAAAAGAAACAGATATATCCTAGGCCAACAAGAAACAGCACAAAGGTAAGACCTCAAGTGCTTCAAACACAATGGAAAAGCACAATGAAAGACCTCAAGTGCTTCAATAAGCTCCATTTGCTTTAGCTTCTTAGTTACAGATCGATTCTTCCTCGTAAGGACCCGTCCCATTGTCCAATGGTAATGCCATCTAAAAATTCAAAACGGAGCTTGATGACAACACCTGTAATGCAGAAAACTATTCACAAATATCCAACCAACAGTCAGATGTGCCGAGTAAAAACTGGGGAAGTTGTCCATAGTTGCGAATATTGTTATTGATTCTGTTGCTTGCTATGATGTCCTATATGCTCCCAATTTGTTGGACGGTCGTGAAGAATTCATATTGAGACATTGCATCAGGATATAATAATAATCATTAGATGCTCCTACGACATATTAGAGGTAATTCACCAGAAGGGTAGAATAGGAGGAATGCTGAACATGGAGAAACTGTCTAACAAAGCGAATTTGCTAGATTCATCTAATATACACACATAAAATGAGATACAAATGTACACATGCCACAAACAACAGATACTTTCACATCACACCAAAAATTTCTGTCCATATCTAAGAATCTGACCACATGCACAAGAATGGATTTACCTCATTCTGCAGACAAATTAACATACTGCCATGGGTTGAACTCTGTGGATCTGACATCATCTGCATCAATGCTATGGGAGCTATCTACAGCAGCCCGATGTTCAGTATATTTTCCATTGTACTGATAGACTTCCAAGTCTCCCCAAGGTGTAGTTGTAATTTCATCAGTCATATCGAACCATCTTGGATTAAACTGATGGCCTTTTGCCTCTTGAGCTCTCTTTTCAGCTCTCTGTCTCTCCTCCAAACTGAGAAGGCATACAAAAATGCCATGCAAACTTCTTAGACCAATACAAACAAATCTAAAAAGACAAAAGTAAATCAACAATTGTTGATTCACATCTTTTTCTTTAAATTGAGTTCATTAGAAAACAAAAAAGAGCATATGATTCTATATTCTTTTTTTAGAGTTCATTTCAAAAGCACATAATGTAGACAAACCAAGCGGATGTGCAAGTATATCCTATCAACAATTCTATAGGAACCAAGAATCTAAATAAGGTTCTTTGGAAGAATTTAACTGCCCAATTGGCCACTGAACAAGAGGCTTCGAAGAATTATGAAAAAATAGCTTAATATTGTGAGTTGCACACTGCAAGCCCTCAAAACTAAAGAAACAGTCCCTCCAAATATGCCTCATGTAAGGCAAATGAAGGCTTACGGAAAACCAACATACGACCAAGAGAATATCCAACAATGCAAATAGAGAAAGCAAAAGCGATAATGAGACCCTGGTAACATGGACACCACAGTGTCAGACTCATTGATTTGTTTACCCCTTTTTCTTCGTTTCAATGGGAAGAAGGGTGACTAAGAAGCTGAAAAGAATTAGAAAAACCATGAATCAATTTGTAAGTTATCCAAAATCAAGGCACTTTCCCTCTATATGCATCTCATAAGCCAAAGAAAGGATAATAAAGCCAACCAACAAATGACCATGAGAAACACCCAGCATATACCAAAAAGGGAGATCAAAAGTCACCATGAAACCCTAAGAAGACTTCCAAATGTCTCAGCTTCATTGATTATTCAACCTCCTTTTTATGGGGTTTAAAGGGAGAGCAGGAAACAAAATGTAAAAAGAGGGCTTCCCAAACCCTCTCCCCCATAATTTGATTGTTATATAAATACTTATCTAAATAGCATGCCCAGGGCCAGAGCTCAGGAGAAGAACTCATGAGTCTTACAATGAAAGTTTTCCAGTAATATATTGCCCTCTGGTAACTTGCTCACAGCTAGCACAAAGTAATAATGTTCACAACACCAGTAATATGTATGGTCATCCATCTGAACATTAATATTTTAAAGAAAAACCACTGATGCATGACAAAAGTGTCTGTGCATGTGGGCGAGAGAGAGAGAGAGAGAGGACCTGCTCTTCTCAGCACCAGCTTTTGATAGATCACCTTTCTCAAGTGCATATCTATCAGGACGCAAACGAGAATCTGATGCCAACAATTTCCTAGGAGCAGTGTCAATGCTGTTTATTTTATGTGCAAAATATGTATACTGAAATTTGTCATTTTCTGGGGTAGCAGCAACTCGCCAAACCTGCACAAAAGTCGCCAGTAACTTACATATTATCATCTCAAACACCAGCCAAGCCAAAATTAGCAGCCAGATAAGGATCAAAATTTTGTTTCGGTGAATTGTTTCAGTCACCTGAGAAATAAAAATGTTTCGACAATGTTTCAAAAACATTTCAGAAATACAATAGAAACGGATAAAAAATTTGGTATTTTGAAACACCTCGAAATATACCGAGAAAAAGGTGGAACATGACGAAACATCTTGAAATACCTTGAAACATTCCGAAACACCTTGAAGCATTGAAACGCCACTTACATCATTGATTTATTTTGGTCTCCTTAAAAAATGGAAACATTTCAGCCGTTTCGAAACTTTGATCATTGTTTCTTCATCGCAAACAATTATAGCACACCAAATCTTTACTTCTTAACAAGTTACTGGATAATGTAAAATCATTCACACCCAGTGGGTACAGGAACAGTGTGCAAAAATCAACAAGACTAACCCCCTAACGTCTGAAGACAGAATTCGGCAAATCAACATTCAACACATCTGATGACCAGAAAAGATTTTCTTGCTTGTCATCCAAATATGGAAGCTGTCAAAGGCAGCTTCTGTGCACTACAATGATGCATGTGTTTAGTGGAACAAGTTTCATGTAACACAAGCTGGCTTGTGTTTGCATTACATGGGACCACAACAAAAAAGCTGTATATCCTAAGTATCAAAATTCTTCGAGAACAATGGTGCGCTTACTGCTTTTATGTAATCTCTCATGAAATCAAACGACGATATATTAGCAGTATCTGATGCTGGAGTCTAGCTAGTAAAACCTATATGAACAATAAGAATGTATTGAACACAAGCCAAATTTGGTGTCCCATCCACCAAGAGTTTGGAGTACTCAGGATGGTAGTATTGCTACTATTTGTCAGCCTCAAAGTTTTGCAGTTATGGAAGCTGCAGCCATTACAAGAATGCTGACACAAACATAATGCACTTGCATGATGAACTGGAAATGAAGCCAGTCCTGAACAAGGTTCAAAGTATCGGCCAAGTCGTATCTGCCTCGGCAGGCGTTGATCCGATAACGATACACAATACAAGACTATCACGAGTCTATCATGAATCGGTTCTGAATCGGGCCAACTCGGAAAAACTCAGACAAACTCAGCCGATTCACTTTCGAATCGAACTAATATGCACAGAATTGTCCAAGCAACAAAGAAAATGTCAAAAAAAAAGCAAAAAAGATGAGAAATTAAACCCTAAATTAGACCTCCTTTCCCATAATAAAAATAAAACAAGAAAGTTAGAATAAAATTGAACACAAACCTGAAAATTTATGGTAAATCTCCCTAATCAGAGACCCAATATCATCGATTAACATCGCAGATCGGACTTTCCTTCTTCTTCGCGATTCTTACTTTCCATCTTCTTCAAAGTTCATCGATCAACATCACAGACCCTAGGCTGTTGGACGATCGGATTACTCGATAGCAGAAGAACCAGTCTTCCCGATGAGTCCCGAGTAGCAGAGACCCATTGTCTCTGTGCTTTGTCTCTCTCCCTCTCTCTCTCTGTTCTCTATGTTCGTCGAAGTTGAGAGTTGAAGACCGAAGAGTGAGGCTTTGGGTCACATGAGGCTTTGGCTTTATCAAACCCAAAAATTTATTTCCTACCCCTTTTTTTTTGTTTTTTCGGTTTTGCCCCAATTTTTTTAATTATATAATTTTTAGTATTTTTCATATAAACTACTTAGAACTTAACTCCTTAAGTTTGTTTTGTATATATATATTGATGATTTAATAATTAAATGTACATAATGGAGAAAATACATATAATCATCATACATAAAATACATATACATATAATCGATCTAATTAGACACATGATAAATAATTAAATGAAGATTTTTTTTATAAATAGATTTTCATTTTTAAAGCTATTAAGTTAACCATATATATACATTTATAATTTTTAAAAATTACAAATTAAATTTTATTAACCTTGAATATAGATGATAATAAATATTTTCCGGTAGCATCCTTATTATTCTTTTTTGCAATGATTAATATGTTAAATAATGTCTTTTAGGGATATGATGCATTGATGATGATATTTACATTTATTACAATTTTTTCAATTTTTTTTGAGCCTTCTACATAGTGTTTTGAGCGTATCGGCCGATACTGCGCCGCAACGTCGCGACCGATGTGTCTCAGTGACCTCCGAGTCAATGGCCGATACCGCGACTTTGAACCATGGTCCTGAATCAGTACAATCATAGAAATGAACGAACCAGCATGCTGAACGGGAATGTCAGTCTTCAATCCACATACAACAATTATGACAAGTGCTCTATCCCAAGTATAAAAAAATGAAATGGTGAAAGGTTTAGTGCAACAAACCTCTTTCAATTCTGTGCCTGCAAGAGGTTCCCCTTCCATGTCACAAGGTTGATAACTCATTGACTCATTCCATTTTCCAGTCATCAATATCTTAGGTTCCTCGGCTGCATTATACACGTAGCCATCCACTTCATATCGACCAGCTCTGCAACCAAAAAAATTATCAGACCTTGGTAGCAGGTAGGAAGTCTATGCAAGTCTGCATGCATGACAGCACCCCCACAAACTCTGAACTTTTGAAAAACTAAGCCTCAATTTAAATTAGAACTACTGGAATAAAATCATTGAATGCAGCAAAGCAGCAATCAATTCACAGGGAGCATCTCAAAGAAATAGTATCTTCAAAATCATTAAGAAAACTGCAACAACATGAAACCAGAATGGAGCTAACAAAGTCATAGATTCAAAAACTTCATCCAATATGGTACAAAGTTAAAATGTTTCACACAACCAAAAAGATTACCATTCAAAGGGCCATAGGCTATAGGAAAAGTTCAAAGGAAAAAAAACTGAAAGGATACAACAGCTTACCCAAACCAGCCGCATGGTTGGAAATAGAGCACAGCTTTGTCCCCAGTAATCAAATTTGTCATAACCATCTCCCCAGGTGAATCTACCCAAGTTCTTCCAAAAATCAAATTGTTAACCTTTGTAGGAGGTGGAACCAAATCCAAGACCACACCATCTCGTTTAAGAGTTACACGTGTTCTGCACACAAACATAAATTTGTGATTAACATTATTATAAATCGTGATACGTAAAAGATTGAATATAGAAATGGAATAGAGGCAAATAGCAAACCATTATTGTTCATACAATCTTTTGATGTATAACATATAGATCCAAACAAATCAGATTGTCATTCTTTTGGCAGATGTAATCCATGTGAACTCTACCATAGAATGTACCTTCAATGATAGAAGATAACCACCAAATGCTCTCAATTAATAATTGGAGGGAGCTAAAAACCACACACACACAAACAGATACAGAATGACAATAATCTTACAAAGCTGTTGAACTCCGCCAACCTTTAATGACATACTAAAGATGTTAACAGTCAATGAACAACCGAAGAAAAAAACTGACCTTCCAACAGGATAGACATCCAGGGAGTTTCCCAAAAATTTAGTCTTCAACTTTGAGGTCACGTCATATGTAAAATGTTCATTTTCAGCATGTCCAGCACTCATTGGAGGATGATGACTCACCTGTATTGGGATATCAACGTGAAGCATTCAAATTAACAAATAAGAAAATTGCAAAAGCATCCAATTAGGAGGGAGCAATGTTAAGTCTATATTTGGAAAGTTTTGGGAATATCTTAAAAGTTGGATTTCCTTAATGGTTTTAGCTTGGTTGTGTATCTCCCCATGAAAATGTGGCCTCAGATTAGCTTAACAGATAGAATTTGATAGCAGGGGGTCCAGAGGAGGATAAAATAGACATGAAGCAGGAATTTCAGATCCTTAACATACCTGTTCTGAAATGAATGTAATCCCATTATGGTTGACCATTTCATAAGTCTCACCAAGGATGGGGTTAAAAGGCTTCCAGGTGCGTTGGTAGGCATAGTAGACAGAGATAGCCCATGATGCTGCAGAATATTAAAAAATTAAATTAAATATTCAAATGATAATTTGCATGATTAAGCTATCTCATGAATATCAGGTTCCAGACGTGCTCACAAGCAAATACCAATTGCATGTAGGGATCTTCACACTCGTCTGCCTGATCTAGAAGGTGGGAGTATTCCATCAACTGTGACAAGAATTGCACAATTTGCATCATATGGGCCATAAACAGCAAGTATAACATAAGTGATACAGTATGTGAAGAAAATGGGTCAAACCTCTGCCATTTTTTGAAGCATTGTCATTGGCTCAAATATAAGGACAGGAAGTGTCACCATTGATGTTACATCAGACCCTACATACTCCCGCATCATCTTCCAGTAACTGTCTCTATCCTTTAAAAAAGCCATAAATCTCTCAGCATGCATAATAAGATTTTACTTCTCAAGGTAAGCCCAACATGAAAATCAAAAAGGTCTTCTGTGGTCTGTGCAGAACGAGAACTCAAGTAAAGATATGTGCAGATATGTGACATGTACCTGCTTTCAGTTTGAGACACAACTCGGTATATATTTGATATGTACAGGATTTTCCTGTACAATGACCTTAAAGGCTCAGTTAATGAACCCATATTTTTGCCTGCAGGCTACCCAATATTCAAAATTTATAACATAGTTTCATTCTAGGAAAATAAAGCTTAGTTGATTAGTATCGGATAATGCATTAGTTTGGTAGGTAAAATTAGTCATTTATATTGGATGGATTGATAAATGTATTGATTTATTTAAGATTTGATGTTATGTAAGTAATGGAAGGAGTGTTTGTTGTACAGGTAATTGATCCAAATTGGAGCAATAATGGTGGGTGTAGAGTGGAAGCTGAAGATGAAGTTACTGGAACACACGTCCGGACAGGGATTTCTATTGCGTCTGAATGGGATTTCTAGAATGGGAAGGCAAAGGTTTTGAAGGATTGGTGTTCACTGTCAAATGCAGCCGAACGGTTGATCCATTGCGTCCGAACGCGTGCTATTAAAGGGGTGAGGACTCTGAAAGAGGAATTAGATTTTGATTAGTCTTCTATGGGGAGAAAAAATATAAGGAGGAAGTAATTGTTATAGATTCTTCTTGAATTTTCATTATTTTTTATTCTAGTTGAATTTTATTATGTCTGACTTAAGCTTAGGGAAAACCTTTCAATGAAGTACGGTATTTTCATTGACTTAATGGTTTAATGATTTGTGATATTTTGTTAATTCAACTTTTAATTTTATTAGTAAAGTTTTTGCTCTGTAAAGATTTTTGAATTGTTGTATCTTATACATTGATTACTTGAATTCTCATGCGAGACAAATAACTAGTTATTCGTTACTTAAGTTGATTACAATTGCTTCGCATAATAATATAACCAGAGGAATGTGTGGTTAGGTCAAGAATTGGTTTGTTAAGAAAGTTTGATTTTTGTAGACTACAGCTGTGGCAAATGCTTACAATCGGTAAACAATTCTTTGATTTTTTTGAATAAACTTTTGGATATAAAAAGTGATATTTTCGTATTCTTATTGCTATNTGTGTGGTTAGGTCAAGAATTGGTTTGTTAAGAAAGTTTGATTTTTGTAGACTACAGTTGTGGCAAATGCTTACAATCGGTAAACAATTCTTTGATTTTTTTGAATAAACTTTTGGATATAAAAAGTGGTATTTTCGTATTCTTATTGCTAAATTTTCCAACTGGGGTCAATTGACAATTTGACTCTTGTTTGAGTTTGGAAACTAAATCATTAATAACTACCGTAGGGATTTGAGAGGTTGTCCCCGATGCTTTAGTATTTTACGTATTATTTTAAGCAACTTATTCTAATTTTATCAATTAAAACACTCTTTTCGAGAAAATTATTCATAAGTTTGTTAATTGATTTAATTTGGCGACTGTTGTTTTCACAATTTCTTGAGAGTTCGACCTCGGNCCGATGCTTTAGTATTTTACGTATTATTTTAAGCAACTTATTCTAATTTTATCAATTTTATTCTAATTTTATCAATTAAAACAATCTTTTCGAGAAAATTATTCATAAGTTTGTTAATTGATTTAATTTGGCGACTGTTGTTTTCACAATTTCCTGAGAGTTCGACCTCGGCTTTCCGAGTATGTATTACTTTGCACAACCAGCATTTGAGTTTACATTCTTAAAGTTGTAGCACTAGTCTCACACCATAAGTCTTAACAAGGTGCTACATTCCTAGTTCTTTTATTTCTCTTCGTAAAACGAGTATACTATGTTTTCATATTCTGATAGTAGGTTTTCACATACAATATGAGGCGATAAAGGACATCTAAGAATGTGACTGTCACTAAGGTAGTGGAAAAGTACCCAAATCTAAGACGGGTACAAAGTATACGTTTCAACGAACCCCAAAACATGGCTTGTGGCACATGCTAATCAATATCTCCCATGTTCAAAGGAGAGAAACACAACAACAAAACGCTGAGTATTTGAACCGATGGACCAAGTAACTTACTTGTGCTCATGGAGCACGCTATAAGCATTATTATTAGTCACTCATCCTAGATAAAATGGGATTTTTGTATTCAATTTTTACAACATAACAAACCAATGAGCAGTTCTAAGGAAGCATCAGCTTTAGGTACATCGGTACATTCAAGAGGAACACCAGCTTTCAGATCCAATTTCAAATATAAAAGAGATGTTGTATTATCAAAGGACAACCCACCTCCTGCTTCCATCTTCCTCTTTGAGCTTCCTCCTCTGCATCTTCTTTGCCTCCTTCTGGATTTATAATTTCCATTCCTTCATAACCAAGCAATCTAGAGGCAGGAAAAAAAATAAAAAGTAGATCATTAGAAATAAAACCTTCAACAACTGACATAAGTTTCCTGATAACCAATATTGAAGATCAAAACTAAGAAGTTCATTGTTATATGGGACCAAGCAAAAGATATGAACCTAAGATACTACAACTAACAGTAGCATGTTTGATGTTTATCAAACAATACTAAATTCCACAGCACTGGTTGGACTTCCAGAATGCATCTGTCATATAATTGATCTTCTATGAGACTACGGGAGATAAAAGCTGATATACATGGTAAGGAGACGAGTTTCATATCACAAGGTTTACAATGAGAAAGGTAAGCAGATTACTATTTGCACACATAAGCCCTTCATAGATCAGGTAAAATAAGTGACAACTATATATGCCCATCTTGAATGGATCTTGAAGATTCGCTCAAAGAGATAAACAAATAAACATGGCAGATCTTCATGAAACTCCAAGCCAACCTATCTGAGAAGTTCAGATAGAATTGAGGAATCTATTTAACTAAATTAGAAGCTGTCTGATAAGTGGTGACATGATAACTTCCCCATATTGAAGCACCCTCAACAACCAATATGGAAAAAGGCCACTATATTTCAAGCCAACTTGTTAATTACAGTCTTAGCATACCGCATATTTGTAGTCCATACAACATTGTGCCAACCCAATACGGTAGACTTCACCATTACATATCCGAGGGATCAAATAAGTTACTCTAGTTGCACTACCGTAATTGAAGATGGAGTCTAGATTCAACGGTTACGACTTATCTAGCGTCACAAATATCAACCCAGAAGACAAAGCCAACATATCACAGCGATCAAACTGGAGAGGAGATTAGGCGACCGCTGACCAGGACCGCAATACCAAAAAACAAAAAAGCAAAAAAAAAGGAAGTTAAAAAGACACAAGCGTACCCGTTTACAGATCTATGCATGGCGTTGCCCAACATAGAAGTCATCGCCGCAAAAAAACCCTTGCTCTGGTTTTTCTCGGTACTATCCATCTCTCCTGAACCCTAATTCGATCCTCCCCTATCACAGATCAATGAAATTTATGTATTTGGATCTTCAAAATTATGACAGTTTGGTAAAACTAAACTTATTTTACTGCGCCCAAAGTGCATGGTAAAATATTAGTTTCAAACGTAAAGGGGTCTTTCGTATCCTAGTTGTAGAGTATTGAAAGACAATGGTCTCAAAACTAATATTTAATGTATATGGTATGAGGCGAGATTTTAGTTTTAACTCTAATGTAGGTGTAATACTATTTTTTATAGATAATTGTGTAGTATTAAAATGCCTAAAATACGCAGTAAGACATTAGTGTCGGCTTTAATATAAATGTTGTAGAATTTTTTACAATAATTAGGTGACACTGAGAGGGAATGAACCTAAGTAATAAGTGAGGTGATTTATCGATTTTATGTACCGAAAAAAATCATTGGAGGCAATTGGCTAAAGTAGAATTGAATGGTAAATGTACTTCCATTTATATAATGGAAAGCCGGCAACATCACGTGCAGTCAAACACATACAGAATCAAAACATTTGATGAATCTTTTCCTCCCTAGCACCCAATCGATTTAGATCTACAGCGCAGCTAGTTCAATTAATTAATTTATATATATATATATATATTTTAAAAGTGAAGTGTGTGTAAATTAATTTATTTAAATTTAAACTAATTCAAATTTAATTTATAATTTATTCATATTATCATTTTAATAATTGATATGGGTAATACTATATATACTTAAAAATTATATTTAAAAAATAAATTTGATAATTATAATCATTAAATAAATAATATATCTCATTAAATACTAAGACGGGCGGTGATTTTGATTATAAAGTTTATCAAGCAATTGATATTCCCAGTAGGGCACTATTTTCATTACAGTTAATTGTCCAGCCACGTTTCCTTGTTGTCTCTCTCTCTCTCTCTCTCTCTCTCTCTCTCTCTCTCCCTCCGAGCTTTGTCCACATAAAAACCCTTACACAATTTCTCTCTTTCGCTCCCGGTTGTTGTCTACTTCAAAACCCTAACTGGCTTTGATAGTATCGAGTTCGTAAAAATTCAGATTAATTGTAGTATACGTCTGTTATTGTGAATATTCGTAGATTTTCAAATATGAAAGAGAGAAAAACAGTGAAGATCAATCTTCAACAGCAAGAGAAACAACCACAATTGCATCAGAACGGTCACTTGTCTCCGTTCAAGTTCGCCAAATTGTTCGATCCGGAGGCTTCTTGGGACAAGGTTTGACGTTTGAATCCTTATTGTTGATTCAGTCATAGTTTTAATTTGTATGTGAGATATATCTGTTGTTCCAAAAAAAAAAATGTGAGATTTATCTAATTCGATCCAACAAGTAGTGCATGCTGATATGTTGCTATTGCAGTATAACATGGTGTCGGAAATTTGCAAATTCAGAGAGAATTTATAACATGGTGNATGTGAGATTTATCTAATTCGATCCAACAAGTAGTGCATGCTGATATGTTGCTATTGTAGTATAACATGGTGTCGGAAATTTGCAAATTCAGAGAGAATTTATAACATGGTGTAGGAATGAGGGAATTTATAAGATTCACTCTCTCTTTCTCTCTATGCAAAACTTGAGGGGTTACTGTGATTTTTTGCTCCAATTTTCCTTATAAGTTTTATTTTTGTTAGAAAAAGAAATTTCTCAGGGTTGCAACTACAGACCATGTTCGATAACTATATTGATTGCCTAAATAACCTTAAGTTTTGGAACCTCATAGAGCATAACGAGTTTTATTACATCTCCTCATTAATCTCAGTTAACTTAATGTAAGCCTGAAGTTAATTCTATATCTGATTAAACAATTCTTTAACGAGCTCTATGTGAAATTCCAGTTTTGTGCCGTTTCTTCATATTATGCTCTGCATAAACTCTATTATATTGAGGAATATTTAATGATGGTTACAACAGTGACAGCAATACAATGTAGTTTTCTCTTCGTCTATTGGGTCCTTTTTAAATTTGGAATTTTTGGGAAGAGAGAGGGAGGAGATAATGATGGAGTAAAGTTCTTAATTAGTGAAATGAGAGCATATACTCGAGACATCTTCATTGAATTCTATTTACGAGGGTAATATGTGATCATGCATGTCTTTAATTGCTTAACATGGATGGTGCAATTAATGTTGCAATTTGGATAGTTCTGGAGACAACTTGTGTTGTCCAGACTCCAGTGTATCATGCTTCGTAGTAAGGGCAGGAAAGTTTTGTTGCCACAGTACCCGTTTATAGAAATCTGGATATCTTGTTTCATGATTATGATGGAAGATTGCTTCTTGAGTTTGTTTGCAATGTAAACTTGGTTATCGATTGTTGCACTGCTTTTTCCTTGCAGGATCAATTGGGAGATGTACTCCATTGGATCCGACAAGTGGTGGCCCTTGTATGTGGGTTACTATGGGGTGCCATTCCTTTGGTTGGGGGCATCTGGATTGTTGTGTAAGTTGATGCTTGTGATACCTTTTCTGGTCATAGTCATTAATGTAAATGATGATTTGTCATTTCTATGAGGGAAAATTTTATTGTATGGTGTCGAGGTGTTTAGGTGATATTAATGATGTGTGGAGCTATGATTTATAGACACGACCATATGTGCTTCATTATGTTTATCTGGGGATTTGGCTTGGCAGTTGGAGCCATGGCAAGTGAAGGCGTGATGGTATCATAATAGGATGAGAATCTGTGTTCTGCAGGGCATGTGGTATGCTTGGGCTGTTTTCAGTAATGATCATATGCTCTAAGTGAATGTCCTAGCCTTATGCCATGTGGCCTGGCCCTTATAACATACTAGACTAATCATACTTTATTCTTAACAAGTGCNTATGTGATGTAATGTCTTAAGACAATCTTTAGCGATTCTAGAAGTTATGATGGCTATAACGTATTCCTTATAACGAGAAACAGTGTTTTTTTGCAACCAACTACACAGCGTAAAGGTGCATGATCTCTTTNGCAGTAATACATTGCATACAGTGCAATGGACAGAGAAAGGCAGGGCCTGGTAACCTCCCTCCCTTTCCTGACCTTTGAGCTATACTGTAGTCCANGCAGTAATACATTGCATACAGTGCAATGGACAGAGAAAGGCAGGGCCTGGTAACCTCTCTCCCTTTCCTGACCTTTGAGCTATAGTGTAGTCCCTTTGGGCATTAGACTGCCCTTCCTTTATTATGTTCACCAGACTGCCTTATTTCTTGANCCTCCCTTTCCTGACCTTTGAGCTATACTGTAGTCCATTTGGGCATTAGACTGCCCTTCCTTTATTATGTTCACCAGACTGCCTTATTTCTTGACCGATTCACTCTCCACTCTTCAATCATCCAACCATTAACTGATGCATGATTACCTCCCTGCACTAACCTGAAGTCCTACCCCTAGATTTTATGATGATACCAGTTGAATGATAAGCAGAATTAGGATTTATCCACATCAGTTGCACAATTTATTCTTGTTAAGCTTAGTTGCAGGATTAGTATAGAGATGGACATGTTAGATCTCTCCATCTTATTGGCACTAGTGGGCCTTGCACATGGCACCCATGTGAGTGATTGAAAAGGAGTGAAATAGAAAGAGGCTGAGAGAAATATGAGAGTGAGAAGAGATGAAAAAAAGAGGATACATTATATAGGCGGTTGAGTGCAGTTGGATAGAAATATGGGTGGTTAAGTGGTTATGGGTGATTTAAATGGATAGAGAATAAGGGTACTACAGATATTTCTGATGTGAACACCAAGTCCCTCCTCTCCCTTTGTAAGAGTATAGATTGGCATGTTATTTCTTCAAAGACAATGATATGTGTCCTGTTAACGTATGAAGATCATTCTTAAAGTGGCAACAACCTTTCATTTAGATAAGACGGCTAAAGATTGTAACAAAGTATAAAGATTAGTGCCTTCTGTGAGCACCATGTCAGCCTCTTGAGATATCAGTGTCTGATCAAAATGTATCAATGACACTCATTCTTCTTGTTTTTTTTTTCTTCTTTCTTTTAGTTACTTTTCCAGGATGATTAAATTCTTTCCATTTTTTGGGATTATGCGGCCATAGTGTTCCTTTTCCCCTCTTTTAATATGAAGTATAGTTGGTTTGCAAGAGTCATGGAGAGGAGAAGGTTGGTATTATCTCATTCACACCTTTTACATAAATTTTGGAGTTTTATATGTTAGATTCAGGAAGCTGTGTATAAACATCTGCATACTAAAGCCATTACCTAGAGGATTATTGAGTGGGATCACCTGGACTATGTGATGTAATGTCTTAAGACAATCTTTAGCGATTCTAGAAGTTATGATGGCTATCACGTGTTCCTTATAACGAGAAACAGTGTTTTTTTGCAACCAACTACACAGCGTAAAGGTGCATGATCTCTTTCAAATGTTCGTTACCGTGTCAGCAGATTTTCCATATGAGAATGTGTGCTGGTTAGAGATAAACGATGGTGGCCCATATATTTTGTCATTAGTTTGTGTTACTTATCTTTTGCTTTTATGTTGAAGTCAGCACGGTCACTTTTGGTTGCTGATTTTGGTTTTCAGGTTCCTGCTGATATCCTCTGGGATCATTTATGGTTATTACTCTATAATATTAAAGATTGATGAAGAAGATTTTGGCGGTCATGGAGCTCTCCTCCAAGAGGGGCTTTTTGCTTCTATAACACTTTTTCTGGTATTTTGCCATACTTTCTTTTACACATATAGGGGTTGATTAGAGTGGTCTTTACCGGTGTAGTAATTTACAAACTTTTCTGTTTGTTCAGCTTGCGTGGATTCTAGTATACAGCTTGGGACACTTCTGATTGGCTAGGTATTTGAATTGGCTCTCTCTCTCTCTCTCTGTATGAGGCTTAACATCAGTGGCCAATTTCTGCCAAAAAAACTTCAGTAGCCCTGCAAACATCGAGAAAGTCCCATTTTTTTTATTGAACTTTTCTGTCATTTTCTTGCTTGTGCAATACCAGTTTCGGTATATGGATGTACTAGCTTTCAGATCATGTTTAAGAGTTGCTGTGATGGCAATTTATTTACCACCATCCTGTGCAATGTGGCAGACTATGGTTTGTATACCATACACACAATCAAAATCCTCACTAACCATTGGGTTCAGGATTTGATACTTCCAGAAATAAGCTACATATGAGAAATTCTATGAATAGCTGTCTGTTTTGCATGAGTTTCTGGTCTTATTTTTTGACTTTCCCACCTTGCCTAGTTGACTATTAATGGGATTGGTCAAGCGGAGCTGTAGTTCTGGCTTCCAGTATCCAATGGATTAACTCCTCTGTTGCATCTCATCCCTGTGATGAACTAATGCCATCCCAGTGATGCACTATGCCCTTTCTTGATATTGTTCTGTTTATGTGAAATGTTGAAAACATTGCTTCTTTAACAAAATCAAATTACTTGGGAAAGATGTCTCTCCAGCATTGTTGACCCAATGTTGTTTTCCAGCTCAAGTTGTAGTAGGTTCCATGAAGGAATGAGTCTGTTAGTCCTTCCCGATATGGCGTCAAACCTTGTGGACTGGGGTAGTTTTCACCAGAATGTCTGTGTCTAGAATGTTTGGAATTCGAGGTTTGTGTTTGGATCATTGCACTAATGCTATATCACTAAATAGTAATCTTGTTACATAGATCGACCCTTCTCTTGCCTATGATAAATTTTTAGCAGTCTGCTCGCGGCCAGTTATGAATCAAAATTTAGCAATGTTGCAAACCCTTTTTTCAATTCAATCATTGTATTATTTCTAATCCATCTTTTTTCCCAAATTAGAAGTTATAGTGGTTTTGCCCTTGGTACAAATTACTATTTGTTCTACAAACTCAACTAGCAGGTTTGCTTTGAGGATTGACTGCGTATGAGATGATTTTTTGGAGTCTGGCTGGATCAGTCTAGCCAACCAAGATGGAATAGAGTAGATTTCTTCTAACAAGTGACGGATTTAGGCGGACTTGTCACACATCCTATTGGGAACAATTTTGGAAAGAAGTACCTTTACTTTTCTTTCGGGAAAGATGGAAAACATTTCCAACATTCATTTGATTGACTAGTCTACCCAATCTTGTCTTTGTTTGAAAAAATCCTTATTGCGACTTTTTCATGTAAACTAGACATGAGACAACCAATTTAGTGTTTACTCACCAATTTTTGGGTGAAAGATGTATTTTTCATGAATATTTTAGTCTCGTCATAGATGACATGTCTTTGACCGGATTGGATTGGACTAAGGAAGGGATTAGTCGATGTGTACATAAACTAGGTTGGACAATCCTGAATGTTGAAAAAAAAAAAAAATTTAGTCTGTACTAACGGTCTCAAATTCAAGTTCATTATATTTTACCTATGGCCTGCCTAATTGTTATGAACAATTCAGGTCTAATTATTTATTTTCATTGGCTAATTTTAAATTGAAAAGGTAAATATGCATTCTAGTGGAAGATAGATACATATTTGAAACTTCGAAATTGAGAAAGGGAAAGAGGGGGGAGAGAGTGACAGTAGGCAAATTTTGGGGTATTATCCTAATTTCCTGGAAAAATCTGGATCGCCTATTTTACCCTGAAAAATCATCTTTGCAACTTTTCTCCTACCCTCTACCCCTTTACAATGCGTTTCATATTTCAAAGCAAGACCAGAATTCTCACGTACCTGGTGTACAAAGACCTTAACAATACGTTATAAATAAAACATGTGCTTTACACGAGCAAAATACTCTCTTCAAAATCGGAAAAAAAAATTATAAATCAATATACTTGTTTGGTTCTTCTTTTTGATTTGATTTGAAAAGGGCAGGCAAAATTTTTAATTGCAGCTTTCACATTTAAGTTTCTGTATTTAACATTCCACTCTTGAATTTTACTGCCCATGAACACCAATATTTGAGCAATAATCCTAGTAGTGATTAGACTGGGCGACTTTTGCATGATGTTAATAGTCATACGTTTTTTGCGCAGAGGAACATAGCATACCATTAGAATGAACATGCAACACATAACAGACCCCATTGTTTTGTTTGCAAATGAAGTGAGATGCTGAAATTTCAGTTCTGGTGATTTGTGATATTACTTTGATATAGGGTTGCATTTTTTTTCCTTTCTGATTCAGGTGATCCACCGAAATCGGTAAAAATAGTAAGTGTGAATTTTTTTGGGAGTTATTTGTAAGAATATGTCATTATGTCAACGAATATGTGTTTTTTTTTTCNTTTGTTTGCAAATGAAGTGAGATGCTGAAATTTCAGTTCTGGTGATTTGTGATATTAATTTGATATAGGGTTGCATTTTTTTTCCCTTTTTTTCCTTTCTGATTCAGGTGATCCACCGAAATCAGTAAAAATAGTAAGTGTGAATTTTTTTGGGAGTTATTTGTAAGAATATGTCATTATGTCAACGAATATGTGTTTTTTTTTTCATCTCTTTTTTCATTTCCCAAAGTAAAATGGGTGCTGTAAATTGAAATCTATATTAATGAAATGTTGGAGGAAACCAGAAGAGTGAAAAAAAAATAGAGAAATTTTGGTCAAAGAATTTTGATCTTGGAGATTGTTTCAAAATGAGCCAGGAGTAAAGCNTAAATTGAAATCTATATTAATGAAATGTTGGAGGAAACCAGAAGAGTGAAAAAAAAAAATAGTGAAATTTTGGTCAAAGAATTTTGATCTTGGAGATTGTTTCAAAATGAGCCAGGAGTAAAGGGGAACAACCTTAACAACCCGTATAAACATGTGTTTTTTTTCTTCATTTTCAATTTTCAATTGTGACATTGGTGTTGTACATCAGAATCTGTATTAATGAAGTGTTCAACCAAAAGAGTATAAAAAAAAAAGAAGGGGAATCTAGTTCAAAAATTTCTATAAATCAGAACAATCTTAACAACCCAGTTCGCTTACTAATGTCATCTCAAAAGACTTTGAAGAGGTTATCTCAAAGACTTCGAAGAGGGCAACCCAGTTGAATTCACGGCTTGAGGGCAACCTAGTTGGATTCATGGCTAATGTTATCTCAACGATTTTGAAGAAGGCAACTCAGTTGGATTCACGGAATAGAGAAAAGCACAAACATAGATTATATAAGGAATAAGTAGCACCTATTTATTTATTTTTTTGTCAAAGTCATTTAGCGAAGCCTTGCTAAAAATGTATATGGTTACCAAGTGAAAGCTATCAGCAAATTGTTATATTAGCACTATTGATTAAAATTTGGATTTAAAATACATTTCAAAACTTTGCTCATTTTGCTATGATTTGGCCCTATTATTTTTCATTTTATGTTAATTTTTTGCGGATAAAAACAAAAATTTTTAAGAAGCTTTGAAGATTCTGTCATCTAATTGATACAAAATCTTGCGAGTCTAAATGAAAATGAAAATAAATTGATACCATAACTTTGAAACTAACCTATATGAAATAATATTTTTAAATTCCTTATTGTTCCATTTTTTTGATTTTCTTTTTCTCTTGGCCAAATCACAATAAGCTTCATTGGGTCCCCCACACGTGATTAATAATAAGATAAATAATTTATTTTGAAAATTCTATAGATTTATGAAATAACTTATTATTTCAGAATCTCAAAAGATATAAAAATAACTGGGGATATTATGTTAAGTGATTAGTTGATGTTCAAACTATACTATACAATTCAAGTAGGCAAGTCGAGAAAAGAGATGGTTGAATCAAACTAATTTTGTTTAAAATTCTATTTTTGTCAGAGGGAAATATGAATGTTCGAGCATTTTTCATCAACGTACTAATAGAGTTATACGATATATCCGGTGTGAAAGTAGGCCAACATTTCTATTGAAAAATAGAGGGTTTCCAAGTCCATGGCCAAGTACTTATTACTTATTGGGTTATACTTGCTATCTTATTAGGTTCAACTACTATAGTTGTTCGGAATGGCTTAAAGTGGACATTCAACGGTGGAGGACTTTCATGGTCACGCCAAGAATGTTACTATCTATTGATTACTCCTCCCCTTATTTTGATAGAAAGAATATAGATGTTGCGAATGAATACTTGACTGTGCAATCAATCCCTCATTTAGACTCACACGATTACGCATGCCCAAAAAATATAATTTAACAATCTCATGCTTTCTCGAGTGGCCAAGAATTCAGCCAATCTTCTTGTTTTAATGTAGACAGATCCCTGAAACATGGTACCTTTTACATCCACATTGCTCTTATTCACCCAAGTCTTCTCTATATTTACGTCAAATTGTCTGTATGTTCATATGGCTTGAATGCCACCATGTTTTTTAGCTCAGCTTGTGTGTTTGTCGTGTTTAAAAATCATATTTTCACCGGTTGCAACATTTATATGAAATATTCAATGACACATGGGCCATCCAAAAATATTAAGTTCCACGTCGGTGATTGCAAACAGAAAAAACCACTAAGATTGTTCAACCTACCTAGCCAGAAAAGTAGCTACTTGTATATACACGCAATATAGTTGGACAGGTTAACCCTTTTTCTCTTGTTATTGTTTAGTAGTTGTGGCAACGGGTTCCAACTTTGGCAACCACTCAACCATATGTTACCCAAATTGCGAAGCTAAGAAATCCATAAAAAATGACTTTCGTCTTTTATGAGTTTGATTAAACAACCAAAGTGCAAGCTAAGATTAACGTTTCTTCATTCAGGAAATTGGATTAAACAACAAAATCACAACAATTCATGACCTCTTCCAAGCTATGCACAACTAAGATGAGTGGATGAGCAAATTCAGAGAGGTCTACTGTTTTCATCACTTACATGCTAAATAGGCAGGTTTTCAAAACTCATTCATAGTATTAAATAAAGCATCCACATGTTACTGAAATGACATTTTGTGAGCAATGTTGAATAAATATGCAATCAGAAATAAAGGCAGAAAAGATATGTAGTTTATGCAATTTATCCCACTAAAGAGCTGGATCAATATAAGGACATGGAGGAGAAAAGTAAAAAGAGAGGAGGAGAAGAAAAAACTCCAATGAAAAAAATGCACTTAGCTGCTCGAACATAATAATATCGTCACCCCATCAATCAAATCTACTTGGGAAAGATACCATAAAGAAGCTTTCAAAACCAATGTCTATTATAATTTATACCTATTGTACAAAGACCATAGGTTCCAGTGATGAATGATGGTTATTGCTGCTCAAATCGGAGGATGCAACCATGTAGTATTGAGTGACCAATGCCAAAGAATCATCGAGGAGAGTCCAAGCTCAAAGAAGTAAGTTTCTAGAACTGACCTGTAAGGTGGCATAATAGGTGGGTCCAGAGTAGCAGCAATGGAGGTCGGCCGTGACTGCTGCCCTAGCCATAATGTATGTGATCATTGGCAATAGTAGGGAGCAATCCATTCAGGGGGCAGTGGCGGAATGCATGCATTGCATCTCTTCTTGCTTCCTTTTCATGGGATATATAGATAAAGAAAATGAGTAATGGTAGATGAACTTAAAAATTAGACTTCATAATCTCAATTATTGAATAGGTAGTGGGTCCTAATAAATGGTGGGACCCACAGTGAAATCAATGGTTGAGATTCTCAAGTTTAATTTTAAATCTATTTTTTAAATCCATGTAGCATTGCTCAAGTAAAATTGCACATTTCATATTATGTTGCTGTTGACCTTTATCTTTATACTAAAACCCTTTCATCATCCGTCACAGTGCTAATATAAGCAATTCGTGACAGGATCAAAAGTGTGCAGTGTGCACATATCCAGGAGTAGATTGGTTTACTTGATTCAATGGAAGTTCTCAAAAGTGCTGAAAAGCCATCTACGTCCTGAAAAAAAACAATGCTTTGGTACTGCACACCAACTCCGATAAATGCTACAAGTCATCAGTGGTTGTTTACTGTCACCTTTTCTCTCCAAACCAATGCTTTTGGACCGCACACCAACTCAATTAAACAGCAGAGTTGCATGTGGGTGTTTACTATCAGCTCTTTCTTCCAACCCTCATTGTAGCATCTTCCGCTATAATTACCAATAATCTCCACAAGAGCAAGAACCCCCCTTAAAGTGGTGGAAGAGGCTGCGGTCTCTAATAACTATTTCTCTATTGAAAATCTGAGAGATCAGCTTTATGGCAGCGTGGCAATCAGCACAAATCCGCAGGTTTTTCGTCACCCGAATGACGGTGCTCTTATCAGTAGCAATAAGTCCAAAGGCAACAGCCATCTTTTCACTATGGAAAAAAAGGGCTTTCTCTTTTTCCTCCTCCTCAACATCAAAATATACCTCGTTTGTGCTTGCAACATGTCCTGCCAACCTTAACCGCTCATAAATCTCATCTATCATATCATAAATTTCTTTGGCTCGAGGATGGATCTTCTCCTCCACCCCAAATTCATGGATCTCACCATCAATCTCAATGGAGCTGCAGCCTCGTAACTTACAAATCCCTTTCTGCTTCACCCATTTTCTCAGTTTTGCAACATCGTTCCACCTTCCAGCATTAGCATATATATTCGACATAATTGCCAGGTACCCCCCATCTTCAAGGTCAAGTTGGATTAGGTGTTCAATTGCCCTTTCTGCAAGCTCGACATTTCCATGGATTTTGCATGCACCAAGTAAGGCCCCCCAAACCCCAGTGTGTGGGGCAAGAGGCATAGATTGGATTAAATCATAAGCTTTATCTAGCAAACCGGCGCGACCAAGGAGATCAACCATGCAACCATAATGCTCTAATTTAGGTGTCAAGCCAAGCTCTTGGGACATACTATCAAAGAACTTTTGTCCTTCATCCACCAACCCCGCATGAACGCAGGCACACAAAACCCCCAGGATGGTTACATCATTTGGCATCACAGCTTCATTCTTCATACGGTAGAAGAACTCTAAGGCATTTCTACTCTGCCCATTCAGCGAGAATCCAATGATCATTGCATTCCAAGCTACAGCATCACGTTCTAACATCTTGTCAAATACATATTGAGCACTCTCCAAGTCACCACACTTTGAATACATGTCCACCAATGCAGTCTCAACGACAACATTTAACCCAAGTTTGCTGCGATCAATACAGGAATGGAGCCATTTCCCCATATCTAACGCTCCAACTTGGGCACAAGCAGAGAGAATGCTCACTACAGTCACCTCATTAGGATTCACATTCTCCATTTGCATTTGATGAAAGTGCTTCATAGCTTCACTAATCCTCCTACAACGCACAAACCCCCCAATGACTGTGTTCCAAGACACCAAATCTCTTTTTGGCATATCATTAAAGAACCATAACATAACTTCCATGTCACCATTTCTCGCATACCCTCCTAAGATTGTATTATACATCAATATATCCTTAACCGGTGCTCTATCAAATAACATTTTAGCAACTTCAACATCCCTAACTTTCACATACCCGGAAATCATCGTATTCCAAACCACAACATCCTTATTGGGCATCTTATCAAACAATTCACGTGCTCTTTCCATGTCTCCACCATTATTTACAAACCCCGATATGACAGCAGTCCACGCCACTGTATCTTTCACAATCAATTCATCAAAAACATCCTTAGCCAACTTCATATCCCCAAAACCACTGTAGAATTCAATCATGCTCGTACCCACAAAGACATCTAACGCAACCCCAAATTTAAACAACTGTCCATGAACACATAATCCTCCACAAAAATCCATCAAATCAGTACAAGCCCGTACAATGAATGGGTATGTGAAACGATCAGGCTTAACATATTGAACCCTCATACGATCAAAATACAGAAGGGCATTTCTGGGTTCTTGATTTTGTTGGAAACCTCTGATCATGGTGTTCCATACGAACGAATTTGGTTCGAACATATTGTCGAACAATTGGGTCGCGTAGCCCATAAGGCCTAGAGTGGCACAATGAGTTATAAAATTTCCGACGGCGAAGCTGCTCTGGTGAAGATCTGTTCGGAGGAGGTGGACATGGAGGGACTTTAGGTGGTTCAGTGTTTTGATTGAGTGAGGAGTTTTGAGCAGAGACAGCGCGAGCTGTTTCTGGGATGTCCCCAACTCTGCAATGAGTCCCAGGAACCCCCCCATCCATCGGAACTACGGCTTCTCTGTGAGCATAGTTTTTGAATAGCATTCAAGCATCCTTTATGTTTGACCCTCCAAAGAGTAACATTTCACGTGTGGCCTCGGTCTGTCGTACGGGTTGGAGCCAAATACACAGTTCTTCCGCCAACAAAAACCAAGGAAGTGTGTTTACGACTTTTGCATTTGAAAGTTGTGTTTCAAAAGGACGCTTTTATTGAAAAACAGTAATTTAATAAATAAATTTAAAAATATTACAAAACTTCTGTAATCCAAGGAAGTTGATGGAAAGAATGATATAATGGACCATAGATTTGCATATAAATACCTCTTTAAATTTTTACTCTGATTCACGAAGAATGTTCGTAACATAGACTTCAATAAATTTGTTGATTCTTACGAAATATTAGAAGAATTGAAAATAAAAGAGACAATTCTCTAGATTGTATTAATCAATTCAAAACTGTTGAATCTTAAGCTTACACGAGTATAAATAGTGTAAGAAACCATAAACGAATTAGAAAACTATGATCCCAATAAAATTAGAAAAATAAGTAAAAAAAAATCCTAATTAAACCAAAAAATAAAATAACATAATTTTCTATTTAAATTAAGAAATAAAATAAAATCGACTAAAATTCCATAATAGAACGACATTGATCACGCTCAATAAAATACAAAAAATCACGTTCAATAAAATATCAAAAATCATGTTCAATAAAATAACATAAATCGATATTTGTGCACAAATTAACAATTTATANAATTAGAAAACTATGATCCCAATAAAATTAGAAAAATAAGTAAAAAAAAATCCTAATAAAATAACATAATTTTCTATTTAAATTAAGAAATAAAATAAAATCGACTAAAATTCCATAATAGAACGTTATTGATCACGCTCAATAAAATAAAAAAAATCACGTTCAATAAAATATCAAAAATCATGTTCAATAAAATAACATAAATAGATATTTGTGCACAAATTAACAATTTATATTCATTCATTATACCATTATATTATATCAGTCTCCCTGCATCATGCTAGACATTTTCTCCCAAAAAATAGAATATCTATCTTAGCCAATGTAGAATACTATCTTGATCAGGTGGGCAGAGGTTTGGATTGGAGGAGGATTGACCCTATTATGTAATCCAATGAATGTATCAAAAGAGAAAAGAAAAATAATTTATGTCATTACATTCTGTCAAAAACTATATTTTCTGTCAGGGTAAAACTGTGGATTCCAATAACACCCAGCCTCAACAAGAGCTTTGACATGAAAGAACTAACTTGACAGTCGATAGTATTGCTGGGGACAACAGATTATCAGAGGTAGACGGCAGTGCATATCTGTTGAATTCACACTTCACCACAGACCAATAGGAAGAAGAAAAAAACCCATCTCGCCCGATCATGTTCAGATGAATCAATTGCAAGTTCAACCAATGCAAATTGTGATGCCTGTTCTAAGTTTACACGAGCCTAATAGTTGTAAATGGTATTTGTTTCTCATTTTATTTAAACACCATTTTGAATATCCTTGAAGCAACAGTACAATTCTACCAATATAATCCGGAGAGAGTCCCATGGATCACATCCCATGATCCAAGCCATGCTACTACTGATTAGTTCGTCAAAAATATTTCTGTTTGTTTGGATCATCACAACTTGCCAAAAAGGTGAGAAAAGGTAAAGGAAAGAATCCTGCTACTGTACACAAGACTAGGTAATCACATAAATTGCAAGGACTTGCAACCACGTTACTGCATTCCTCTCATGTCCATCTTTGATGTTGGTTCCCACCCCTTCGCCGAATTAAGTAAATGCGACCATAAACCCAACGTTTACCTGGTGTTGGGATGGATTGCTGCAAAATGAAATAGCACATGCATCATACATAACATAAACACCAAATATCAATCCAATAACATGATCCAAATTTGGGAACTGCACAAATTGTATTCTAATTTGCTGGCTGCTTCTATCTGTTTTGTCATTAAGCAAAAAAACATGAGCATAAACATTCAGACAGCATACATGATACTAAATTAACAAATACAGAAATAAAATTACTACACATTTTTTTCATGGCCTAGAAACATCTCACTAATAAATAGGTGTGCAAAGTAAACATGTTCTTCTTCCCAGGCAAAGGTCCCTATAAGATTCACACCCCCATCTATTCTCAATTTTTATTGAGTTAATAAGAGGAGATAGGAGTGGGTGTCATTCCCCTTAATAATGGTTGATTTACAGTTTACTTTTAAACCTTCCCACTCTCCCACTCTCTCTCTTTCCTAACCCGACTTCTTTTCTCTCTCTTTTCCAATCTCCCATGACTCTATCTATCTCATGTCTCCATTCCCTAATGGCTCCCTCTTTTACCTACAGTTAATATCGCAATTTACTATCATTTGATTGGTGAATATATAATTATTGACAAGATTTTGTTTACATAAAATGTGTACACACATCTACTTGCAGATGCGCTGTGTGTGCCACAGAAACTAGTTAGAATAGTGAAACATGCAGTCTCCAGTTTGGAAAAAAAAAAGAAAAGATTAAGCTATAATTACCTCAACCTTGGTTCGGAACTCTAGGAAGCTTTCACATACATGACATTCTGCTCTATGGGGAGACTTATTTGACTGAATGGACCTCACAAATGCAAAAACCTGCAGAAAATTTGTGCTTAAACTTGTACACTTGACGCATTGGAAGTTGACTATTAAATTTGTTTCCCAGATGTGACTGAAATCAAGATTAGAACCATAGTCATGGAGCTTATCAAAATTTGTAACTAATACAAATTACTCTTTGTTAAAACTGACCTCCTCCCCACAATTGGGACATGCCCCTTTTAGTGCTACCAAGTCATTTTTCCAAAGGCCATGCAGCGCTCCAGCTGTGAGGAGATCACAAATATGTGAGAAGGATAATAAGAAAGTAAAACAATATAAATACTGATATATTGTAATGAATATGATACATCAATCCCTTTGAACCATAGTTACCAGAATTCACTAAACTCCTGACGACCCATGATTTGGGTACATCGATCCCAAATGGAATGGATTCGCGATCTAGATCACCAAAATATACGACCCTAAATTATAATACTAACTCTAAATCAATTCACTTTAGAACATGTAGTACAAATATAAAATACATATTAAATGACTGTGTCTATATAGATTTATAATTATACATTGTTTTAGATAATAAAAAATCGTGCATAAATGTAAGACAAATTTTAATTGACTAGTGTTTATGGATGTTCTATGATATATAATGTTGCATAATAGTGAAAATGATCTAGAAAAATGTTCCAAAATGAATTGCAACCCAAAATACCATACCAACTAATCCTACTCCCATCATACCATATACCTAAGAAAGTATCATAACGCATACTCCTATCCGAACTATGTACCAAGGTGACCAATGATCCAGGTAACATAACTTTGAACCAATGATATATCTACTGATGCTTACTAAACTACACCTCAATGCACACATTGCACAATAGTCACTAGATGATGTTGATTAGCACACTTCACAAATGTCTCCTCATGTTAGCTATACTGATAACTGATTAACTTTTCCGAACATTATCTCTTTCATAATGATGTAAACTTCAATCCAAAGCAGTTTAGTGCATAAGGCTCCCACTATTGCTGGTTTGGGGAAGTTTAGTTTCTAATGTAAACTTCAATCTGACCTTGAAGCAGCAGTAAGTTCTGATAATTAATGCCCTCCATTAATTGGAGTGAAAAAGAAAAAAATTATGTTCTCAACCTAGTCAACTAGCTAAGGATGAACAAAAACTCCAAAGAATAACACATGCACGTACGAATTGCAGTTAATATGAAATATTCAGGCCCATATACCCGACACAGATGGGAAAAATATGTGATTGACCGTTAATGTAAAAACCTTTTGCTTTCAAGAGACCTATAGATTCTGAATCTTGAATTTTCTCCAGCTTCTTCTACAGTTGAAAACTTTAAACATGCCTTACAATATCTCCAATGCAAGCAAAAGCTTTCGATTTGTGAAATATAAGGAATATCAGTAGTATTCTGACGAGGACATCAAACTCATTACCATTCCTCTTCCATTCCACAAGTTCCACCTTAACATAAAGTCTAAAAAAAAGATTGCCAAGAACATCAAAACTTATTACCAGAAGCTGAAGCAATTGGATAGCCAACCACAGAGCCCAACACCATGAAGAAAATGCCATTCAGCATGGCAAGAAATGCTCCTGAAGAAGCTTGATTACTGTAGTACAATCCTGAATTGAATGCATCCTGATAAGCTTGCCCAACTGTGTAGATTATAGGTACAAGACAGGCTGAACAGCCAAAACCAAGAAACAAGAGCCACACACTTGCTAATGTGAAAACCTGTGAAGGATCTTCCTGCCCTACATTCACGTTATTCACTCGTCAAGTGAAGAAGTATGTAATGTTCATAGCCCTTTATACAAAAAAGCAATAGAATAATGCTGATTCCAAAAAGTTAATGCCCTATGTATAAGAAAGGTCATTCCCTGAAGCAGAACACTATTCTTACAATCTCAGGCAGAACCAAGCAAGTTGAAGTTTTTGGTGAAATATAGTGTGGCAAAAGACTGGTAATGTCTAAAGTGATTGTTTGAGAATGTTCTTCAATGATTCAACCTAAGTTTTTACAAGAAGTTGAAGTTTTTGAGTAACTTTGGTGAAAGATAGCGTGGCAGAAGTCTGGTACTGTCTAAAGTGATTGTTTGAGAATGTTCTTCAATGATTCAGCCTAAGTTTTTCCAAGAAAGTTGAAGTTTTTGAGTAATTTTGGTGAAAGATAGCGTGGCAGAAGACTGGTACTGTCTAAAGTAATTGTTTGAGAATGTTCTTCAATGATTCAGCCTAAGTTTCTACAAGAAAGTTGAAGTTTTTGAGTAATTTTGGTGAAAGATATCGTGGCAGAAGACTGGTAATGTCTCATATATACCCAGTGATTGTTTGAGAATATTCTTCAATGTCTCAGCCTAAGGTTAGGAAAAACCCTC